CGGACGCCCTGGACGACCCCGGTGAGCACCGAGCACCCAGCACCCAGCACCCGGGGCTCGGGGTGGGCGGCGGCGTCACCCGGGTGCTTAGTGCTCGGTTGTTGTTTTTTTCTTTTCTTTTTCCCAGAACCCACGAAGAAGCCCGGCGGGGGTGAGTGGGGGCCGGGGGGGGGGGTGAGAGGGGTGCTGGTCGCTCGGTTGTTGCTGGGGGGAGGGAGGTGCTTGATGCTCGGTTGTTGTGGCGGTGAGGTGATTGTTGCTTGGTTGTTTGGGTGACGGTGGTGCTGGTTGCTCGGTTGTTGTTGGGTCCTGGGAGGTGTTTGTTGCTTGGTTGTTGGGTGAGGTACTTGATGCTCAGTTGCTGGGGTGAGGTGCTGGACGCTTGGTTGTTGGGTTCAGGTGCTTGATGCTCGGTTGTTGGGGCCAGGGAGGTGCTTGATGCTCGGTTTTCTTTTGGGCCGAGGTGATTGACGCTGGGTTATTTTTGGGGTGAGGGAGGTACTTGCTGCTCGGTTACTTGGTTGAGGTGCTGGTCGCTCGGTTCTTGGGTTCAGGTGCTCGTTGCTCGGTTGTTTGGGTGACTGAGGTGCTTGATGCTCGGTTGCTGGGTTGAGGTGCTGGTCGCTCGGTGGCCGGGGTGCTGGCCGCTCAGTCCCTCTCGCCACCCCCCCCCAGGTCTCTACCCGCGGCTCCCGCAGGACCCCCACGGCGGAGGTGAGTCGGGTGCTGGGGGCTCGGTGCGCAGGGTGCTGGGGGCTCAGTCCTTCCCCAGGTCCCCCTTCCCCGTCTACATCCGATTCCTTTGCCTAGCAGGAGCCTGAGGGGTCGATTTGCATGGCCCCGCCCACCCCGCATACATTAACAGGGTCCCGCCCCGTCCGCATAAATTTGCATAACATTAACGACCTGGGGAATCTCCACCTGCCTCATTTGCATAAATTTAAATAGAGGGCGTGGTTTGCTTAGATTTGCATGCATCCGCCGGGTCCTCTGGGTTGATTTGCATGGCCCCGCCCATCCACGCATAAATTTGCATGTCATTAACGGCCCCAGGCGGCTCCCGGGCGGGCTTTTTGCATGCGCCGGCGCTCATTTGCATAAATTTAAATGAAATGATTGGCACCCGGAGGCGCTGCGTCCCCGACGCCTCTCTCGGGGCGCATTGGCGAGGCCCCGCCCACCCCCGCATACATTTGCATGTCATTAAGAGGCCCCCAGGCGCCCGCCCTCCCAGGCTAACGATGACCCGGCGGCCATTTGCATAAATTTACATACAGAGTCGGGTCTTCTCGGGGTGGGGATTTGCATAGCCCCGCCCACCCACACCCGGCATACACGGCGTGACGTTAAGGGCGCATTTGCATAAATTTGCATATCAGGCGCACCGCCCACGGTTTCCTATGTTAATTTATGCAAATTCATGCCAATCCGCGCCCCCGGCACCCAGAAAGCCATGGCCCTTATGCAAATTTATGCAAATTACCACCAGCTCCTTGGGGAAAATGCTGTGGTTTATGTAAATTTATGCAAATCTGTGCGAGCGGGGGGCGGACCCACGGGTGATGGACAGACCCGGCCCCGCCCACTCACTTCCTCCCCCCCCACAGGCATCGGCGGCGAAGGCGACCCCGGGGCGCGGCCTGGCTGGGGCGGGGCTTCCGGTGAGTGACGGGGCTTGGGGGCGGGACCGAGGGCCAGAGGAAGAGCCCGGGGTCAGGGGGCGGAGCCTAGGGGCCGGGGGGCGGTGCCTAGAGTCCGGGGATGGAGCCTGGAGTTCAAGGGGCGGGGCCGGGGTCAGGGGAAGAGCCCGGATCCAGGGGGCGGGGTCCAGGGGTCAGAAGCGGAATCGTGGGGTCAGGGGGCGGGGCCAGGGTCACCGGGCGGGGCCTGGAGTCATGGGGCGGGGCCTAGGGGTGCTTGGTTGTTTGTAGCTCAGTCCACAGGGTGCTGAGTGCTCAGTCCTCCCCCGGGCCACCCCGACTCAGTACCGAGCGCCGCCTCAGTCAGCACCCCCTGTGCTCGATCCCCCCCCCCGCAGACGTCTACCCCCCGCCCAGGCCCCGCCCCCCGCCGCAGCCCCGCCCCCCGCCCCAGCCCCGCCCCCCGCTGCACCACGACTACGACTTCGGAGGTGAGTGCTGGGGACTCAGTCCATCTCCCCGCTGGTGGGTGGAGTTCATGCAAATTTATTCAAATCCATGCAAATGAGGCCCCGAGTAATGTTAGCGGGGCCGCGACATTCAGATTTATGCAAATGAGGGGCGGAGACATGGGGCGATATGCAAATTTATTCGGGCTGTATGCAAATTTATTCAAATCCATGCAAATGAGGCCCGAGCGACGTCAGCAGGGCCGCAGCATTGAAATTTATGCCTTAAGGGGCGGGGATTTCTCTCTATATGCAAATTTATGCAAACGAACCTCAGCTCAGCATGCAAAATTTATGCAAATGCGCGCAGGTTTCACTCCAGGCTGCTGGGCCCTGGGGCCCTTAACGCCATGCAAATTTATGCGGGGTGGGCGGGGCCATGCAAATCTGCGGGAAAAGAAGACCCAGCTCTGGGGGGCCCTGCTCCGTATTTAAATTTATGCAAATCAGCACTGATGCATTCAAGGGGTGGGGGTGGTGCTGCTTGGGGTCCTTCAGGACATGCAAATGTAGGCGGGTGGGCGGGGCTATGCAAATGAGCCCGCAAGCCTCCGGCTCTGGCCCAGAGGGGAAAAAAAAAATCACGGTTTGCGTAATTTTATTCAAATTTATGCAAATCAGGACCAATGTTTGCAAAGGGTCCGTCCGGCTGCTCCCTGGGGCCCTTGATGACATGCAAATCTGTGCGGTGTGGGCGGGGTTATGCAAATCTGCCCGAGAGGCTCTTCCTGCAGCTTTGTCCTGCTTCAAATAATTTATTTAAATTTATGCAAATCGGCACCGATTTATTGGAAGTTCCCACCCGGCGGTTGACTGGGGACCTTAATGAGTTGCAGATTTATGCGAACCGGGGCGGGGCTATGCAAATGAGCGCGAGAGGTTCTGTCTCTAACACCGGAGGAAAAAATTCACGGTCGCTATAATTCATTCCAATTTATGCAAATCAGGGCTGGCGTATTCAGGAGGCGGGTCTATGCAAATTCGCCCCTGAGGATTGTGCTCTTTGCTCAGAGTGAGAAATCATATAATTTATTTAAAATTACGCAAATCGGAGCCCGTTTATGCAAAGGTTCCGCCCGGCTGTTCCCTGGGGTCCGAAACGCCATGCAAATGTGTGCGGGGTGGGCGGGGCTATGCAAATCGCGCCCAGGGAAAGTCCCGGTCCCTGTGGCCCCAACGGGAGGCGTGGCCCCTGTGCCCTGTATTTAAATTTATGCAAATCGCGGGCACAGGGGTTCAGGCCGCAGCCAGGCTGGCTGATAATAAATAAATGATATTTAAATGTATGCAGAAGGGGGCGTAGCGAATGCAAATGGCCCGGCTTTGGCTCCGCAGTTGGCTTAAATTCATGCAAATCTATGCAAATTCCACGGGCACAGCTATAATTTATGCAAAATTATTTGCAGTCTATGATGGTGGGGTCGTGGCTCATGCAAATTTATGCAAATCAGTGCCATGAAGTGTTGATTTTATGCAAATCAGCGCCCCAGCCAGCGCGATTTATGCAGATTTATGCAAATCAACACCAACTCCTATGTAAAATTATGCAAATCAACAGGAGCTCCAGGGAGCGCCCCGGTTTATGCAAATTTATGCAAATCCTCTTTTCCCCTGTCCCGGGTCCGGCCATAATTTATGCAAATCTATGCGAGCCGGGCCCCACCCCGTCCGTGATTGACAGACCCGGCCCCGCCCCCTCACTTCCTCCCCCCACAGGCATCGGCGGCGAAGGCGACCCCGGGGCCCAGCCCGGACGGGGCGGGGCTTTCGGTGAGTGACAGGGGCAGGGGCGGGGCTTCCGGTGAGTGACGGGGCGGGGCGGGGCCTGGGGCGGGGCTTCCGGTGAGTGGCAGGGATGGGGGCGGGGCCCAGCTTCAGGGGGCGGGGCCCGGGAGTCCTGGCCCCGCCCCTGCTGACCCCGCCCCCTCCCCAGGCCGACAGGAACCGAGTCCCCCGGTGGACAGCACCCAAGGTAAGGCCTGACCCCGCGGGACCCCGGGGACTGAGCACTGATCACAGAGCACTCAGCACCCCGCACCCCCGAGCTCCCCGTGCACCGAGCACCCAGCACCCAGCACCCCGAGCTCCCCGTGCACCGAGCACCCAGCACCCAGCACCCCGAGCTCCCCGTGCACCGAGCACCCAGCACCCAGCACCC